TCTACCCCAAACCAAGAACATCAGAGGCTCCGGGATGGGGCCAGACCTCAGTAGTTTCAAAGCTCCCTGGTGGATCCCAGCCTGAAGGGAGGTTGCAAACTGCTTTAGAAGCATTGAGTGGATCTTTAAAAATTATTTTTTAGAGACGGAGTCTTGCCCAGTTGCCCAGGCTGCAATGCAGTGGCACAAGCATAGCTCACTGCAGCCTCAAACTCCTGGCCTCAGGGATCCTCTTGCCTCAGCCTCCTGAGTATGTAGGACTCAGACCTGTTTGGCTCCTTAAAGTGCAATACCCTGAACATCTTGTTAAATATGCAATTCTGGCCGGGCTCGGTGGCTCAGCCTGTAATCCCAGCACTTTGGGAGGCCAAGGTGAGTGGATTGCCCAAGCCCGCGGGTTCGAGACCCGCCTGGGCAACTTGATGAGACCTCATCTCTACAATAAATAAAAAAAAAATTAGCCGGGCGTGGTAGCGCACGCCTGTAGTTCCAGCTACTTGGAAGGCTGAGGCAGAAGGATCGCCAGAGCCCAGCAGTTCGAGGCTGTGGTGGCCGGAAGCGGCCACTGCACTCCAGTCTGGGCGACAGAGTGAGACTCCAACTCAAAAAAAAAAAAAATGCAGATTCTGATTCAGCATGTCTGAGATGAAGCCAAGTATTGCTAGTGAGCTCTGGGGGGGGGCAGTTACTGCCCTCCTTGGACCACACTTTGAGTATAGAGACCCCAGAGGCCCGACACTGCCGAGTCCCCTCAATATCAGAGCCACTTGCCCGTTAGGGGACTCTTTACCTCCTCTCCTGGCTAGCTTGAGTCCAGACAAAGGTATAGCTCTTCCAGTAAGTCTTTGCCAGACCACCAGGCAGCATCAACCTCCTCCAGTTTTCCTTGGGTCCACTCCAGGCTCTGACCATGCCAGTCTCATGTAGAGGCTCTCTGGAGCTGATGGCCCATTTCCTAACTGAGCTGTCCACCCACACCTTGATGAATTGCCCTGGGAATTCGTTCTCTCCATTCTCCAAAGGTCTACATTAGGATGGTAGAAACACATCGTTGCAACCTTTCATCTCTCACTCTGTTCAAATTACTTTTACGCTGGGAGCAGTGGCTCATGCCTGTAATCCCAGCACTTTGGGAGACACAGGCAATAGGATTGCTTGAGCCCAGGAGTTCAAGACCAAACTGGGCAACTTGGTGAGACCTCGTTTCTCCAATAAATTAAAAGAAAAAAATTAGCCGGGCATAGCAGTGTGCGCCTGTAGTTCCAGCCACTTGGAAGGCTGAGGCGAAAGGATTGCCTGAGTCCAGCAGGTCAAGGATGCGATGGCTGGGAGCATGCCACTGCATTCCAGCCTGGATGACAGCGAGTCTCTGACTCAAAAAAAAAAAAAAAAAAACAATTACTTTTACGGGGAAAAATCTCTGCCTCATCCCATATGTCTCCAGAAAGGAAGCTGTTATGGGCACCAAATGGTTGTCATAAAATTCACATTTGTTGTTCCCCTTCTCATAGCGGGTAGCTTTCAAAGGAGCATTTTATTGTCCCTCTTCCTCTGTCTCATGAATGTGGGAGTGGGGTGATGGCCATTTGTAGGAATCACACAGATAGACATGTGGGATTTTGTGAGGCTGAGCACATCAGATTTTAACATTCATGGTCTTCAGATACATTCTCCCAAAGGCGGCACCACCTTCCCAGGCAAGACCTCGCCCAGCCCACCCAGCTTCCTGCCCACCTTGTCCCTGGAGGGGCAGTGCCAGAACAAAACCAGCAGGGGGCAGTGCAAGCCCACAGTCAGAGCCAGCTCACTGGGTCCCAACCCTATGTGACTTCCTCAGAAAGCCACTGGGCTTTTGTGTCAGGCAGGGTCCCTGATCTAAGGCCCGAGCCCTGCTGACTGTAGGGGAAACTCCAGCATCTGGTTGGGTCTAAATAGGAGCCAACAGCCTTCTGGTCTGCATCTCCCTGCAGATTTCCCTACATCCTGATCTCATTTATAAATTTAGAACCACTACAGATAAGAGGGCGGGGCTGGGCTGCATCTGGGAGGGCTAGAGGAATAGGAGGGTCAACTGACAAGGACCAACCACTGTTGCCCCCATATAGGGGACCAATTCTTGAAAAACAACTAGAAGTATATCTTGAAAACATTAAAAATACCCATTCTGGCCGGGCTTGGTAGCTCAGCCTGTAATCTCAGCACTTTGGGAGGCCGGAGTAAATGGATTGCCGGAGCCCACGGGTTCAAGACCAGCCCAGGCAACTTGGCCAGACCTCATCTCTACAAGAAATCAAAAAATTAGCTGGGCATGGGGGCATGGTAACGCACGCCTGTAGTTCCAGCTACTTGGAAGGCTGAGGCGGAAGGATCGCCAGAGCCCAGCAGGTCGAGGCTGTGGGCCGGGATCGTGCCACTGCACTCCAGTCTGGGCGACAGAGTGAGACTCCAACTCAAAAAAAAAAAAAAAAAAAAGTACTCTCCATTCTCTTATCACTTGACCCCTGTTGCACCATTGGACATAAGTTGCCCATGCTCTCATATTTGAAATACCTCGTTTTCTTATTGTTTACTTTTTTTTTTTAAAGACTAGGCATGGTGTCTCATGCTTGTAATCCCAACACTTTGGAAGGCTGAAGCAAGAGGATTGCTTGAATTCAGGATTTCAAAGCTATACCTTGTCTCTTCTTTAAAAAGGGGGAGGGGAGTATTTTTACAAATGGGAGTCCCGCTATGTTGCCTAGGCTTGTCTTGAACTCCTGACCTCAAGCAATTCTCCAACCTTGACCTCCCAAAGTGCTGAGATCACAGATGCAAGCCACTGTGCCTGGCCTTCTTAGTTCCAGATGTTTCTAGGAGATCCTTCCGGGTGTGGCCCCTTCAACCAATGCAGCTTCCCTCTTTTTAGGTTTAAATACCAAAGTTCCATGTGAGATTTGATTTGAAAAAAAGGAAGCCCCAACTTTGGGGGAGAAATCCTCACTGTTAACGTCCCACTCTCCTGCCCACAATAATTTGCTACAATTCCTTCTCCAGCTTAGAAGTCCTGTGTAAATATCATTTACGGCCAGGCATGGTGGGTCATGCATGTAATCCCAGTACTTTGGAAGACTGAGGCAGGAGGATTGTTTGAGGCCAGGAGTTCAAGATCAGCCTGGGCAGCATAGCAAGACCTTGTCTCTGTGAGAAACCAAAACATTAGACAGGCATGGTCGTGCACACTTTAGTCCCAGCTACTTGGGAGGCTGAGGTGAGAGGATTGCCTGAGGTCAAGGTTGTGGTGAGCTGTGATTGTGCCACTGTACTCCTGTCTGGGACAGAGTGAAACTCTGACTCAAAAATGTGTGTGTGGCCAGGCTCGGTGGCTCAGCCAGTAATCCCGCGCCTTTGGGAGGCTGAGGTGAGTGGATTGCCTGAGCCCGCGGGTTCAAGACCCGCCTGGGCAGCGAGTCCTCATCTCTACAATAAATCAAAAAATCAGCCGGGTGTGGTAGTGCATGCCTGTAATTCCGGCTACTTGGAAGGCTGAGGCGGAAGGATCGGAGCCCAGCAGGTCGAGGCTGCGGTGGCCGGGAGCGGCCACTGCACTCCAGTCTGGGCGACAGAGTGAGACTCCAACTCAAACAAAACAAAACAAAACAAAAACATGTGTGTGTGTGTGTGTATGTGTGTGTAAAATGTATGACCATGGATTGTTGACCGTGAATGTTATAATGAAGGAAGTTACTTGGGTAATGAGTATACATCGCAAACCCCAGGAACAAAAGAAGGGATGTAAGAAATGAGTGCGACCAGGCGCAGTGACTCACGCCTATAACCCTAGCAACTTTGGGAGGCCGAGGTGAAAGGATTGGCTGAGCCCAGGGGTTTGAGACCAGCCTGAACAACTTGGTAAGACCTCGTTTCTACAATAAATCAAAAAATTAGCCAGGCATGGTGGCACGCACCTGTAGTTCTAGCTACTTGGAAAGTCGAGGCAGAAGAATTACCCGAGCCCAGCAGGTCGAGGTTGTGATAGCTATGAGCATGCCACTGCACTCCAACCTGGGTGGCAGAGTGAGAGACTTCAACTCAAAAAAAAAAAAAAAAAAGAAATGAATGCATATATAAATGTACATAGGCTCACTGGAAAACAAGAATGAGAACTCTCAGTGGATCAGAGATATTCCTGAAGGTATGGAAAGCAAGTAGGATTGGGTTGATCTCAAAGTCCAAGAAATAGTTGGAGGGTCCTGCCGCAAAAGGTGGGTATAGCAACACAAAGTGGAGGGAGGGTGACCGTACAGGTAAGAGCAGGTGTCTTGGGTTGATTCACTGGGATTCCTTCACAGCCAGGTCAGTCAACCCTCACCCACCACCACTAGCCAGTGTCTGCCTCCACGGAGGAAAGCGCAGCTTCTTGGGAGAAGTCTCTGTCAATGTCTGGGAGCCCCAAGTCCAGAAGAAGCCAGCACTTCCCCAAGAGAGCAGAATGCTTAGCACAGGGGCTTCTAACAGAGGTTCCCACCCACAAAAATGAGCACACACTGAAAAATCACCAAGCACTTGAGGAAAGCCAACGCCATAAAAGGAAAGCACTTGTATAGGTCAAAACAGGGCAGATTTGGAAAGTGTAGGTTCATCACTATAAAGGCAGAAGATGAAAAATAACTTTAACTTTCACTCTGTAACTGAGGAATGGGAGATGCTCAGAGAAGATATCACCTGTAAATCTAAGTAAAACCATTCATCTAGGCAAGAGGTCTGGAGGAGAGAGCTTCTGGTGGAGAGACACTACCCTGCCCACCACCCAGACAGACGGAGGGAACATGACCACCACCTTGGAAAGAGCTCTAAGTTCCCACCACGCTACACACATCAGACTGCACTTATCCAAGGGGAGCAGTTGCCCCAGAATGACGCTTCTCCATGGCTTCCTTCATCCTGGAATTCTGTGTGGAAAACCCCTCACCTGCCCACAGGCCACCAAAATGACTGTGTCTGCCAAATCATTTGACCGTAAGTTCTCCCTCTTTTATCTGTTTTATTGTATTTTGGGGGGTGGGGGAGAGGAACTTGTAACCCAGTCTCCTTGCCTGTTTTCACAAACCATAAATCGCAAAACTCTGTTACAAAGGAAATGATGGGGAAAACTAATTAATCTTTGAAATTCAACCTCACACAAAAATCACTGTCTTAAAGCTTCAAGGGCATAACTACCCCCCAATTCTTCTTGTTCATAATAATCCCTCCTCCTTTATTGCCCCCCCAACTTGGGAGGAGGGTGACACCTGAGCTCACTCAAGCTTCGGGAGCTTCAAGGGAACCACAATCACCTCAGGCAGCCCTTTCCTAGCCTGGGCCCAGGAAAGCTGAGAGGCCCAGGGATGCTAACTACAGTTCAGCAGGTGGGAGGTGTCCTCAGAAGGCTGTGTTCTCAGCTTGGGCCTGGGGGCCAAAGAGCTGCTCGGCAATGGCCTTGCCATCATACTTGGGCAGTGTACCCCCAAAGTCAGCAGGCAGGATGTTCTCATCAATCTCCTGGTAGAAGGCAGAGAGGTCATCCCCGTGGACATAGACCTGAAGGGAAGTAAGGGAGACACAGCTGAGCAGGAGGTGCCCTTAGGATGAGGGATGAGGTCTTGGAGAAAGGAGACAGGAGGGCAAAGCTCCCACGTGTGATCTTGGACTAGTGACATCTTCTCCACCATCCACCATGTTGTGCTGTCAGAGAGATCCACTCAGTTCAGGACTATGGCAGAGCATGAGGAGGGCTCAGTTGAGGGCCCCACCCTCACCCCTCTTGTCTCATTGTCCCGTGAATGCTTTCCTGCTCTAGCCCCACAGTCACTCACTGACTTGCTGAGCACCTGCCCTGGGCTGGCTGTGCACTCACCCTCTCAAGCAGCTTGCTCTTCAGGAAGGGCTTGACCACATTGTAGGTTGTGGTGAAGTACCATGGCTGGTGGATGAAGTGGATGGCTTTGAACCGGGCTGGAAAGGAATCCTGCAGCGACAGAGAGAGACCCCCCACCCGCCCCATGGCCCCAGTGACCACTCAGAGGCTCCCATTTATTCCCCACTGCTGTACCGTGTGGCATAAGGAGAGACTTGTCCAGAACCACATGGCTGCCCTGGAGGAGAGCCCACTGACGGTTCCATCCCCAGGCCAGCAACTAGGAATCAATGGCTTCGCTATGGCTCCAAACTGCGGGGAGGAAGCCCCAGAGGTCATACAGCCCAACCTTCTCCCTTCTATGAAAACAAAACAACAATAACCCTGGAATTAGGCAGAGTAAAAAAATGAAATGGCCAGGCATGGTGGCGCATGCCTGTAGTCCCAGCGACTTGGGAGGCTGGGGTAGAAGTATCACCTGAGCCCAGGAGGCTGGGGCTGTGGCGAACCATGATTATACCACTGCACTCCAACCTGGATGACAGAGTGAGACCTGACTCAAAAATATCTAAAATGAAAAAAAAATGTTTTTAATGAAATGGTCCTTTGCTTGTTTTCTCAGTGACAGAATTTTTTCAAACCCACTTTCCTACTGAATGACTGCATGCTATTATAGACCACAAGGACATTAATGTCATGCCTCATTGTCCTTCAGCCCCTCCCACAACTTCTACCTCCCACCCCTCCTTTCCCAGATACACACAAAGTGGATCTAAGATAGCTCTACGAAAGGACTCCTGACACATCAGTATATACAGGAGAGAGTTATCTGGGTGTTAGTGATATTTCTTTCTCAGGGTAAGTCCACGTTCAAAACCAGGCAGTGTGATACATGTAGACAGAGAGCATGGGATTCGTCAGAAGAGACAGGTTCAAGTCTGACCTCTGCCAGTTTATCACTGTGTGACCCTGAAAAGTCACTTAAATCTCTGAACCTCGGTTTCCAGGTTGGAAAATTGAAGCAGGATTCTACAAAAAAAGATGCTTGCACACATGTTTATTGCAGCACTATTCACAATAGCAAAAACACAGAACCAAGAGTGCTGCTCATCAAAACTGGACTGGATAAAAAAAAAAATGGTACACCTACACAAGGGAATATTACACAGCCATAAAGACGGACAAACATATGGACTTCGCAGCAACTTGGATGGATTTAGAGTCAATAATACTCGGTGATCTCTCATAGAAACAAAGAACAGAGTACCACATGTTCTCATTCATAAGCAGACCCTGAACATTTACCATAATACTATAAGAAAGTGATTGGCTTCGTGACCCGCCTGGGCAACTTGGCGAGACCTCATCTCTACAATAAATCAAAAATCAGCCAGGCGTGGTAGTGCGCGCCTGTAATTCCGGCTACTCAGAAGGCTGAGGTGGAAGGATCGCCGGAGCCCAGCAGGTCGAGGCTGCAGTGGCCAGGAGCGCCACTGCACTCCAGTCTGGGTGACAAAGTGAGACTCCAACTCAAAAAAAAAAAAAAAAGTGATTGGCAGTAGCAAAATACTCCTGAGGTGGGAATGGAGCAGGGGGCACAACATCAATAAGGGTACCTGATCTCAAACCAGGCAAAGTGGGGACCAAAGGGAGGACCAAAGGGAGGACCAACTTTACCTGTACGATGTCCACTTGTATACCTAATCCTGAATTGTACCCCACATCTTTAAAATAAAATATACATATATTTTAAAAACAAAAATTAATCAGGGAGATAATGGTTTTGAGATGTCAATAAAAAAATGAATGTGAGTATTCAGCAAATTGTCAATCACCATGCAAGTCTGTGGTTAGCACTGTGGTTGTCACTCCTTACGGCACTAGCGGGTCAGTTTCTCAGGTCCCTGCCAGCACTGTGAAATGGGGATACTGGGCCCAGCTTCTCAGTCACTCTAGATGTGAGGGGCTTCTGTGGGAGAGGGTTGAAGTCCTCACCTGGAGCATGTCCACCATCTTCCTGAGATCTGAAGTCCGGAGCGCAGCAGCCTGCTGCATGGTGAAACCCTTGAAGTTCTCAATGATACAGAAACCATTAATTTGAGTTTCCTCATTCTCCAGTAGCTTCTCCAGGATGAAGCAATATGCCTGCAAGATCTTGAGCACAGAGTGAACAGGCTGTAGGATCCAACCCATCAAGACAATTTAAGGCTCAGGGGCCTGGGGGAGAGCTGATTGATATGTTCTTCACTGGAGGTAATTTGTCATAGGCCTTGACCTTGGACATCCCCCCTCTGCAAGTGTAGACCAACAATAAAACCTTGAATGTCACATCCGTGATTAGATGGCAGAGTGTGTATCCCAGTACTCTTAAAATAGCAGAAACACTGGAGAGATAACCTAAATGTTCAGCAGTAGGAACTGGTGAAGTTATGGTGCATTTATGGTATAGAATACTCTGAAAAAGTTAAAAATGATACAGAAGACTAATAATACAGGAAAATGTTCCTAATGTATTAATGTAGAGTATGATTCCCTTTCTTTTTTTTTTTTTTTTGAGTTGGAGTCTCACTCTGTCGTCCAGACTGGAGTGCAGTGGCTGCTCCCGGCCACCGCAGCCTTGACCTGCTGGGCTCCGGCGATCCTTCCGCCTCAGCCTTCCAAGTAGCTGGAACTACAGGCGCGCGCTACCACGCCCGGCTAATTTTTTTGATGTATTGTAGAAATGAAGTCTCGCCAAGTTGCCCAGGCGGGTCTCGAACCCGCAGGCTCAGGCAATCCACTCACCTCAGCCTCCCAAAGGCGCAGGATTACAGGCTGAGCCACTGAGCCTGGCACCCTTCTTATTTTTTATAAGAAAAAATGCTTTCGGAATTTGTTTCTAGAAAAAACTTTATAAGAAACACATTGTGTGTCTGTGTAAAAGTAGATTGGAAGGATGTCGATGGTAGAACTCTCTGGGTAGTAGAATTGCAGATTATTTAATTTTTTTTTGTATTTTCTAAAATGAGTGGATATTATTTATGTCATAAGAAATATATAGGCCAGGCGCTGTGATTCATGCCTGTAATCCCAGCACTCTGGGAGGCTGAGGCGAGAGGCCTGCCTAAGCCCAGGGGTTCAAGACCAGCATGGGCAACTTGATGAGACCTTATCTCTACAATAAATCAAAAAAAATTAGCCGGGCATGGTGGCGCATGCCTGTGGTTCCAGCTACTTGGAAGTATGAGGCAGAAGGATCACCTGAGCCCAGCAGGTGGAGGCTGTGGTGGCCATGAGTGTGTCACTGCACTCCAGCCTGAATGACAGAGAGAGACTCTTACTCAAAACAACAACAACAACAACACACACACACACAAAGCCAGGAAGACACTAGAGGCATCCCTGCTAAGATTGGGATCAAGATAAGAATGGTCACTGTCTCTACCACCATTTAACTCCATGTTGGAAGTATTAGCCTCGACCTGCTGGGCTCCGGTGATCCTTCCACCTCAGTCTTTCAAGTAGCTGGAACTACAGGCTGGCGCTACCATGCCCGGCTTACTTTTTTTTTGACTTATTGTAGAGATGAGGTCTCGCCAAGTTGCCTAGGCGGGTCTCGAACCCATAGGCTCAGGCAATCCACTCACCTCAGCCTCCCAAAGTGCGGGATTACAGGCTGAGCTACCGAGCCTGGCATCATTTTTTTAAAATCAGGAGCATAAGAAGTAGAAATGGAGGCCAAGTGTGGTGGCTCATGCCTGTAATCCCAGCAGTTTGGGAGGTTGAGGTGAAAGGATTGCCTGAGCCCATGGGTTCAAGACCAGCCTGGGCAACTTGGCGAGACCTGGTCTCTACAATAAATCGAAAAATTAGCCAGGCATGGTGGCATGTGCCTGTAGTTCCAGCTGCTTGGAAGGCTAAGGCGGAAGGATCGCCTGAGTCCTGCAAGTCGAGGCTTCAGTGGCCGTGAGCAGCGTGCCACTGCACTTTGTCCTGGGTGACAGAGTGAGACTCCAATTTAAAAAAAAAGAGCCGGGCTCAGTGGCTCAGCCTGTAATCCCGCGCCTTT